TTTTATCTTTTCTGCTGCATGAGGTTTCTTCACTTAAAAGATTTTGCAAAATGCCTCTAAAATCGTTTAAACAAGTTAAAAACAAAGTATTTTGACAAAAGCTTTCTTAAACAAGTTTTTAACTGATACAGTTTTGAAATAACCGATTAAAATCACTTAGAATGTTCAGAGAAGTGTTTTTGCAGTATTTTAATCGATACAACTTGGTTTTAATCGATTAAATCTACTTAACATTCAGGATGATCGATCAGAATGCAATTATGACCAATCAGAATCAGATATGATCGATCAGAATTGAGTTATGACCGATCAGAATCAGATATGATTGATCAGAATTGAGTTATGACCGATCAGAGATTTTTCAATCGATTAAAACACGTTTCAATCGATTAAAACAACTTAGAAAATTTCTACACAGCGTTTTAATCAATTAAAACTTATTTTTATCGGTTAAAATAACTTGGAAAGTTTTACAAGAAAGTTTTGCAGTATATTAATCGATTGAATCGCGAAACAATCGATTAAATCAAATTAGAAGATTTTTTGTAAAGAGTTTTAATTGATATAAACGTTGTCGTATCAGTTAAAACAAATCTGTTAAAGAATCAAGAACGTATTAATGGATTAAAAGAAGTTTTAACAGATTAAAACTACACTTTTAACAGATTAAAAGAATCTTTTAACAGATTGATTAAACCAGCAGTTTTGAAAATCTTCTATAAAAACAGTTTGGCTTGAACATTTTAAACACAATAATTGAATATCAATCTTTAGCAATCAAGCAAGCAAACTTTAGCACACTTTCAAGAAAGATTCGCGCCAGTTTTTGTGAAGTTCTTTGAAATTCTTTCTTGAGGCAAATTGCTTTCTTTTGAAGAAGAAACACACTGCAGAATTGCATAAAACTGGTTTGAGCATTCTAGTTTCTTCTTTTCATTTCTTTACATTCTTTTTGTATTGTTTGGTGCCTGGAATTGTGGGCACTGGTTTCTCTGCAGCTGGAATTTGGTTGTAGAGGTTGTCAAGAACTGGAATTTGGTTCTTGGTGAAAGGTTAGGTGCAGGAACTGGAATTGTGGTTCTTGTGGTAGATTAAGTGTAAGATTGTAATCTGTAAAACATTTGATCTAGTGGAACCCAGCTGGAATTTGGCTGGAGAATGGACGTAGCCCTGGTATTGGGTGAACCAGTATAAACACCGGTGATATCTTTCTAAACCTTTCTTCTATTTTAATTCTGCTGCTGCGTTTATTTTTTATTGCTTGCTTTGTGATTCAAGAACAGATCTGAAATCTTATTTTTACAAATAGATAATCTATTATTTGCGAAAAACTTTCAAAGATCAATTCACCCCCCCTCTTGATCTAAAACTACTTTTCTAACAAGCTCCAAGTATGACACTCTCGTTATGGTGACTTGAGTTATAGTGAATTGGAGACTTGTTAAACCATGATATGGTGAAAGGGTTGTCTACCTTAAAGTCCCCAACTCAACTTGTTAAAGCATAAAAAAGATCCTTTTTTCATGTCAAAGCAATTGACATGCATATCAAGTATTGCAACTAGTCCATTCTGATATATGTGACCCCATCAATCCTACATTTAATGGAAATAAAAGATACACACTCACTTTCACTGATAGTATGAATATGAAAGTATGGGTATATTTCATTGGTGAGAAAAGTGAAGTGTTTGAGACCTTTAAATTGACGTGCATCTCAAGTGTTGCAACTAGTTCATTCTGATATATGTGACCCCATCAATCCTACATTTAATGGAAATAAAAGATACATACTCACTTTCACTGATAGTATGAATATGAAAGTATAGGTATATTTCATTGGTGAGAAAAGTGAAGTGTTTGAGACCTTTAAATTGACGTGCATCTCAAGTGTTGCAACTAGTCCATTCTGATATATGTGACCTCATCAATCCTACATTTAATGGAAATAAAAGATACATACTCACTTTCACTAATAGTATGAATATGAAAGTATGGGTATATTTCATTGGTGAGAAAAGTGAAGCGTTTGAGACCTTTAAAAATTTTAAAGCATTAGTAAAAAAACAATACCTTTTTTCAAATTTTACGTATTGATAGGGGAAGAATACACTTTAAGGGAGTTTGTTGATTTTTGTAAAGAGCAGGGTATTCAAAGACAACTCAGTGCCTCATACACCACAACAAAATGATGTGGCTGAGAGGAAGAATCAGAGTATAGTTCAAAGTGTTTTAATAAAAAAAAAAGTTTCATGATCCTTCTAGCCCGAAGTTGTAAATTGGGTGGTTCATATCTTGAATACAAGTCCAACCCTTGTAGTAAAAAATATCACACCCAAAGAAGCATGGAGTGGATTTAAGTCATATGTTTCTTACTTCAGAATTTTTGGTTGTATTAGATTTGTTCATATACCTAACCAAAAAAGGAGCAAACTGGATGAAAAAATTAGTAAATGTGTGTTGTTGGGTATAAGTGAAGAGTCTAAAGTTTACAAACTATATGATCCTATTAATAAGAAGATTCATATCAGCAGAGATGTCAAATTTCAAGAGGATGTTGCTTGGGATTAAAGTGAAGTAGAATGATTGATGCTAGACGTGTGGAAGAATTTTCTCAAGCAAACGAGAGAGTATTCCAAACAAACTTGAATGATGATGCAATAATAACCACCAATACAATAAGGATGAACTCAATCTCGGATTGGGGAAGAGCTCTTCCAATTGAAGGGAGGGCTAGAAGACCACCAACCTAATTAAAGGAGGGCTAGAAGATCACCAACCTAATTGAAGGAAGGGCAAGAAGATTACCAACCTAATTGAAGGGAGGGTTAGAAGACCACCAACTTGGATTAAAGATTATGTCACTCATGATGATTTAATTAATTAAGATACTATAAATTTTGCAATGTTTGCAGGTGTAGATCCAATAACATACAAACAAACATCACAGAATCAACATTGGAGAGATGTCATGATGCTTAATTTCAAGTCATTCAAAGAAATGATACATGTGAGCTAGTTGATCCACCATCAAATTGCAAAATTATAGGTGTCAAGTGGATTTACAAGACAAAAGACAAAATTGAACGAGACAAGGGAGATTGACAAATTTGAAGTCAGACTAGTAGCAAAAGGATACACTTAAGAAAGAAGAAGGCATCGATGTTCGAGATTTTTGCACAAATAACTCGTTTGGAAACCATTAGAATTGTTGTTGCACTAACATCCACAAAAAGGTGGAACATTTATCAACTTAATATCAAGTCAGCCTTCTTACATAGGACAATAAATGAAGATGTATACTTAGAATAAGCATAGGCTTATGTCTTTAAGGGACGTGAACATCAAGTATGCAAACTTAGAAAAGTCTTATATGGCCTTAAACAGACTCCTAGAGCCTGTACAATAGGTTGGGGTCTTATCTTGCAACTAATGGTTTTTTAAAATGCCCACATGAACACATTCTATTTGTGAAATGAGAGAGAAAGATGCACTCTTAATTGTTTGTGTTTATGTAGATGATTTGATATACACAGTTAATCATGAATCAATGTTTCAAGAGTTTAAAAATATGATGATGAATGAGTTTGTTATGACTGACTTAGGTAAGATTAAATACTTTCTGGGCATTGAAGTTTTGAAAAGCTGTGATGAAATTTTTAGTAGACAGAAGAAATATATCAGGGATATGTTGGACATATCTCATATGCTTGACTGTAATTTAATTGAGAATCCTATTATTCTAGGTATTAAGTTGCTGAACAGATAAAAGGACAGAAATTGATAATACTTTATTCAAACGACTATCCTATTATTCTAGGTATTAAGTTGCTGAACAGATAAAATGACAGAAATTGATAATACTTTATTCAAACGACTTATAGGAAATGACAAGAATCTTATGTATATGAATGCTACTAGACCGAATATTCGTTTTATGGAGCATCCTAAAGCAGCAAAATATATTTTGAGATATTTGCAGGAACTCAAAATTTAATAATTTTTTATAAAGATGGAGGAAATGTATAATATTACTTACATATATTGATAGTGATTATGCAGGAATCAGAAGATTGAAAGAGCACATATGGTCATGTTTTCAAATTGAAAAATGGTGTAATATCTTGATCATAAAAAAATGCGTAGTTAGTTTATCACAACAAAAACATAGTTCATAGCAGTTACATTTTGTGCTTGTCAATATTTTTGACCGAGAAGAATTTTGGAGCATTTAGATCATTGTCAAGAGGGAGTTACTATCATTTTTTGTGATAATATTTCTACAATAAAATTATCCAAAAATAAGAAATAAACATATTGATGTAAGATTTTATTTTTTGAGAGATTTGTATAATAATGGTATTATTGAGCTGGAATACTGCAGTAGCGAAAAACAAGTACAATAATAACAAAGTCACTCAAACTTTGATACCAAATACTCTGGGTGCAAAGAACATATAGAAGAAGATTTGTTGACAGAAAATAAAGTTTCATTTATTTATTACAGTTTAAATTTTATAGGTGTTTCAAAAGCTATTAGTACATAAATGTTATTTTTACTAGGAAGTAGGAGTTTGTTAGTATATCATTCTCAAATTATACTATCATACTGTTATCTTTGACATATTTTCGTTCTTTTTACATAAATATTAACATATTTTCAAAACTTTTTTAATGCCTTATCATTTTAGATGGAAAATTTACATGTTACTTCAAATAAATATGCATAATTGCCGAATCCATAGTTTATCACTCAATACCATGGTCGAGAGGCATAAAAAAGACAACTAATTTATTACGATTCGAGATTACAATACAAACATTATAATCATAGGAAGGCGCGCACGCAAACATGAGTCAAGCTGGTGGTACATATACATCACCGACCTTGAAATCAAATTAATTTTGCAGCAATTTTAGCAGCCAAGCTAACGTTTTATTATCTACTCTAGCAGACAAAAGAAGCATCCCATAAACACATGACACTTTATTGTCTATAATCTAAATCTTAGAGGACGCCCACTGCAACCGGTTTTCACTGTTGAGCCTGCAGGGTACAAACGTAGAAGTTCAACAAAGTAGCAAAGCGAATAGAAAGAATTGCAGAAATCGACGACAATTATGCAAAAATCTCAAACTTGACAGGTGTGTGAATGTTGTTTACAGTACCAAAAACCGTTTCTTGTAAAGATCAACAATTTCCTTGGGATCAGCTCTTGTTTGTGTATAAGCGTTAATCTTGTTCACTTCCTGCGAAAGAAACATATTTCCACAAATGAATCTATATATTCTATAACCAGTAAGTTAGAAGCAGTTAGTCTTCAAGCTCCCGCATCAAAGGCACGAAAAAGATATGGTCCATTATGTTTTTCACTTGTTACAAAACGTCTGAAGTTCTCTTCATGCTCAAATTGATGATTATGATAGGAAACAATCCATAAAATAAAAAAGAATATAAAGCAGTACAAATTGTTTGAATCAGAAAATAATTTACATCGAACTGCTTCTAGTGTACCTCAATCCATGCTGCAAGTTTTGGTCTTCCTTCAGTTATATCATGTTTGAGCACCTCAAAAAAGACGATCTGGAATCTTTCAACAAATGGAACATAGGCAACATCCACCTGATCATCACAAGCATTTACAACTCATATAGGACAAAAGCCATAGTCATAGGCCCTGTCATTCAACTTATACTTTATTTACACTTAGACCATGACTACTTTAATACTTTGTTCCATCACATCATTATCTTCTATTTTGCTAGAATTTGTTGCAGGTGGATAGGTCAGTCAATGAAAAACAAAAAATTTCAAGACTATAGATTTTCAACTTACCCAACTAAATTGACCAAGAAAGAATGGACCGTCATCAAATTTACCAAGAGAATTCTCCAAGTAATCAAAAGCAGGACCTGATTAATATCCAATTCTGAAAGTTAATTTCATATGGACCCAAACAATCACTTTCCTCTATTTACAAACCAAAAACCGTACTTACTGGCTTGCTGTAGTGGATCTCCTTTCAATGCAAAATACACCTCTTTGGTGAAAGTATCAACATAAGTAATCAACTGCTCACCAAACTCTTTCTTGGCAGGATCCTGAAGAAAAAAAAAGAAAAAAAAAATTCTCAAAACAACTCCACACTAAACAATAAAATAGAAATGCGAAGTGAGGAAGAATGTGTGGTTCTTACACTGGGAACTAGAGATGGCCCTTCGAAGTTGTCATCTATGTATTTGATCAAATCGAGACTTTCTCCCAAGACTTTCCCATTGTGCTCCAATGATGGCACCTATAACATCAGAAGAAAATCACAATCGAATACTGGATCATAGATTAATATTTTCCCCTCAGTCAATAAGCAAGTTAACCAAAAACCTTGTTTTCAGGGTAGACTTTCTCCTTATACCAGGCAGGCCTATTTTGAAGATCAAAAGCAACCAGTTCGATCTTGTCTTGTAGTCCCTGCATGCAGTACAACCAAATCGATCATCAATCATGAAAGAGAACGACATATGGCTCAAAGAATACCATAAAAATATTAAAGAGTAAATTTAAAACTTATCCTCTAAAGTTGCACCTGTAATAGCAAAAGACATTAGTGTTCCATAAAATAACTGATGTCAAATCATTAAGCAGCAAGATGAATACGGTGGTATTTTTAATTTTTGACAAATAATTTTTTTGACGATGACGTTTCTAAGAAAGGACAAGTCAAGGATGCACTGGCAAATTAAATAATAGTGATAGGACATTTTAAAAAGAGGAAAAGGAGAGGGTAAACAACCTTGTAGTTCCGAGTGATCCAAGCACGTTGCGCAAAGGGACAAATATAACTGATGTACAACCTATAACAAAATCGAAAATCCTATTAAAAAATATAGTAATCGGAACAATAATCAGGATGAAAAAGAAGAAGAAGAAGAACCTGGGGGTTCCATTGAAAAGAGGAGGTGGCTCGGAGGTAGAAGTTAGCGGGGGAACACGAGCTTCTTGCACGCTGCTGAATAACGAAGAAGAGAAACAGTTAGCGAAGAGGAACTGATTTCAAATTGAAAGTATGCGCAGATGATAATCCATCAACAAGTGTCTTACCCAGTTGCCATGGATCTGTTGTGATGTTTGTCTGCCAAGTTTGGGCGAAGAAAGAAAATGTGTACAGAATGGTGTCCACGTTCAGTTGGAGAGAATCTGCATTTTATAGGACCCCATCACTTGAAGAAATCGGTAGCGGTGACCAATTAATATTTTGTTTTCCCACTCTCATCTGTCATTCCCTGCTTTCCTTCTACAGAACGAATATGAATGAAAGTAAAGTAAAATAAAAAAAAATTATGATGATATTCAATTGATTTTTTTTTTAAATAATAATAATTTGGTATTTAAAAATATACTAAAATTTTAAAAATTTATTTTTAAATTTTCTATGGATTTATAAATATCATTTTTATAATCTTAAATTTGTATAATCTCTTTAAAAAATTTATTAATATTCGTGACTGCTCTTTTTCAATTTTTAAACATTTCTATTATTATTATTTAGATTTTTATATGAGTGTGCTTTTTAGCAACACAGTCAATTAAAATTTTAAGAAAAACAATCTATGAAAAGAAAATGAATATGTATTAAAATAATCGGAAACTCTGTTATTTTGATTAATCTATAATTAAATGATAATAATAATAAATAAATAAATAAATTTGTTCGTAATCTAAACTTAGCCTTTAAAAAACTTAACTAGAAAAGCCGGAATTTGATTTGTTTTCTTTGACGGGCTGCTAACATATTTTATCTATTAAAAATTAGTGAAATCATAGGTTTTATATTTTTTATATTAATATATTTTTTAAACTCTCTGTTACTTTGATCAATCTATAATTAAATAATAATAAAAAATTGTTCATAATCTAAACTTAGCATTTAAAAACTTAACTAGGAGAGTCGGAATTTGATTTGTTTTCTTCAATCGGCTGCTAACATATTTTAGCTATTAAAAATTAGTGAAATCATAGGTGTTATATTTTTTATTATTAATTTTTTAAAATAATAATTTTTTTAAAAATTAATTTAAGTTTTTTTAATATATATCATATATCAAATTTTATTTTTTATATTTATACTAGTTAAATATTTTGTTTTCTAATTTTCATATATGTTATATCTTTCATCTATCTGCTTGGATTCTCAAATATTTGTGTGTCTGCATATTTTACTATAATTATTTAATGCAAAAATAGTTTCTTTTAAGTGTGAGAAATGAAATAGAACTATACTATAATTGTACATCTGCACCAGTCTCTTCTTAAACAATTGGAGAATCAAATCCATCATTTTAATTATAATATCAATTATTAGATCAGGTATTTTTATCTTTAAGTCAAGATACAACTTTTACCAGTTAGAGTGTATTAATTTAAGAATCACCATTGGACTTGATCCACTTGGTGACTTTGATATATAATTGATGCATCCTATAATAACCCTAAACTTAAATGAAAAAATAAATTTAAGTTAATTGGGTATAGAAGGGATAATTTAATCACAGTCAATTCCATTTTTTTGTTCATGTTATAAGATTTTTTTTATATACTCTTCACTTTTCTCTTGTCTCTTTATTTTATTTTAATTTCTTCAACTAATCATTTCAATATGTTATTGTTTTTTTTTACATTTTGTTTATTCATATTTTTATTCTCTTCAATTAATTTATTTTTCTTAATTTTTTTTTATCTTTTTTCTAAACATCATGCATCTAACATAATAAAATATAGTTTTATTTTATGTTTTTTAAGTTTTAATCATATCATGTTTTGTAAATTTTATTATTTTTATTTATCATATAGTAATTTTTTTTTATTTTGCACTGAATAAGAATTAACTTATTAATTTTTTTCTTATAAATTATATATTTTATATTATTAACATTTTAAAATAGATACCTTACAAACAATTAAATTATACATGTAATCATTATAGTGTTATAATATACAATAATAAAAATGTTATAATTATTTTATATTCAAAAGTAGAAAAAATTAAACATTTTTTACATATACATATTTAATATAAATATAATAAATTAAAATATATACTTAATCAATAATAAAAATTTAAAAATTATAAAATTACAAACTTTTAATTATGTATAAAAAATCATATTAAAATTAATTTATTATAAATTTAAACTTAGACATATGATAATTTTCTAGTTTTATTTTTTTTCATCTACACAATGTTAAATCAAATTAAATCTCATTGAACACAACTCATCTAAACTCAACTAAATTGAACACAATCCAACTTAACCAATAGTTTCTTCACACTTTTCTAATGTCTTAAATTATCCTCTAAATTATTCACAAGTTTACAGTGTAAAATTAAATACATAGATCATTTCACAAGTATATTTAATTTAATCAAACATATAAAATGTTGTCAACTTATATCATAACCTTAAAAGTTAAATTTTGTTAAGATAATCAAATTTCATATAAATTTAGGCATGCAACAATATCTTGTAAATTGGTATTGGAATCAAACAAAACCAAACCGAATCCAATTAAACTCAATCTAACCCAATCCAATCATACATAACTTAACTTAATACAACTAAACCATACTAGACCGAATTGAACCTAATCGAACCAAGTCCAACTAAACCAAACCCAATTGAATCCAACTAAACCAAACAAAACCCAATAGGATTGAACCAAATCGAACCCAACCAAATCCAATCCAACTAATCACAACTAAACCTAACTAGACCAAACTAAACTGAATTGAATTGAACCAAACTCAACAAAACCCAATTGAACCCAAATGAACCAAGTAGGACTAAACTAAACCAACTTGAAATCAAATTGAACCCAGCCAAACTCAATCCAATTAAACACAATTAAACTTAACCAAACCAAACTAAACCAAATCGAACCAAACTTAACAAAACCAACTTGAACATAATCAAATCAAACCTAACCAAGCCGAACTAAATTAAACCAAACCAAACCTAATTGAATTGAACCCAACCCAACCAAATGCAATTGAACCCAACTACACTAAACCAAATATAATCTAACCAATACAAAACGAACTCAACCCAACTTAACTAGTCAATGCACATCATAATTTTCTCATACTTTTCCAATATCTTGAATTAGCCTCTAAATTATTTATAAGTTTATAATATAAAATTGAATGTCTAGTTGATGATACAAGTGTCTATAACCTAATAAGACATCTAAGAATTTATGATTTCAAATAAGAGTCAAAAAGTGAATAATCATTAAAATAGTCAAATATCAAATTTCGTATAAACTTATGTATACAACAATTCTTTGGGAACTTGTGTTGGAATTATTTTGCATTTATACAATGCAAAATCAAATTAAACCACACTTAACTAAACCCAACCGAGATCAACTAAACTTAACCCAATCAAACTGAACCTAACTGAGTCGAGCCAAACCAAACTGAACCGAACCAAACCCAATTGAACTCAATCAAATCGAACAAAACCAAACAAACTCAAACTGAACCTAACTAAATCCAATTAAATCAACCCAACCTAATTGATCATAACACACTTGTTGCCTAAATGTGATAAAAAATTACAATATAATATAAGAAAAATATGCAGTAATTAGAAAAAAACCTAATTCGTATTTTCAAGGAGAAGTGGTAAAATGTTTGCAACTAAATTCTCACCTGGAAGTAGTTAGAAAAGGTGAATTTTATGAGTTTTGTATTGGAATATCGTGAAAGAAAGTAATAAACCTAAATTCTAATAATAACATTAAATCTAAGTAACTAGTAAAAGTAATAACATTGTGCAGTGAAATAAAATATTGAAATCAATAAAAGCAATAATGAAAATAGTAAATTCCCAAATCATCAACATGATCCTTTGATTTTCATTTATTTTTAGACCTATAACCACAAAAATAAATCTACAAGAATTCTTAACCTTCACCATCCAATTAATTAGAACAGATTGATGGGTTCCATTCAATTTTACTAAAAGCAAAATTTATTTTCTAAGAAAAATAATTTCACAAATCTAAAAATGTATTTGTATTGTAATTGAAGAAATTTGACAATAATCTTAATTATATTTATTATAATGAATTATAAATGGTTAGAATGATAAATAATCAAATTTAAACCATAAAAAATAAGTTTTTGATTGAAAAAAATCAAACTTATAACTTTGTGAAAGAAAAATAAATTTGGATAAACAATAAAGAAAAGCAATGATATAGCACATATCAATAAATGAAATCTAAATTTTGGAAAGTAAATGAAAATATTAGAGAAAAGGAAACTAGAGAAAAATCTAAAATCTAGATTTTTAGAAACTCTACAAATAAATGATAATTTATGTCTTTTATTTTTCACAAATCTTTATATACAGCAACAAATACAATTGAAATACGCATACCTATACAATATTTAATTAAATCACTTTAAGCTTTAATTGACAATTCTATAAAAGTGGGTTCTGCATTTTCACCCTTAACACTTATATGTTTCATTGAGTAAAATGTCACTTAAGTTAAATTGTTAGAATTTGAGGCTTTTGCTTAACAAAATTGGTCATTATTGAAAGAATTAACAAAATTAGAAATGAATTTCTTGTGAATAATTTGTTGAGTTTTGCACTAAGTAAATCTAAATAACTAAAACTTATTTTGTTCTTTAAGTTATCATTCCTACACTACTATATAAATATTTAATTAAAATATATAACTTAATTAATAAATTAGATAAAAAAACTATTTAATCATATTTTATTAAAATTATATTAAAAACATGTAACTAAGTAAGATAAATATATATATATATTAATTATACGAATAAATATATTGATAAAATATAATTATCCTTAATCCAACTAAACTAATTGTTGCACATAATAACTTCATCATTTTTTTTGAATTGTTTTCAAAATTATTCATGTTTATAATATAAAATTGAATTACTAGTTCATGTCGCAAGTGTCTATAACCTTATCAAACATCTTAAATTTTTTTAAGTTAGATCAAAGCCTAGGAGTCAAAAATCATAAGATATTAAATTTCGTATAAACTTTGACATCTTTGTGAATTGTTTAGCATCCACGCAATACAAAATCAAATTGCATTAAATCAAACTCAATCAAATCGGATTGACCCCAACTCAACCAATCAAATTCAATCCAATCGAATCGAACCCAACCCAATTGGCCCTAATAAATCAGATTGAACGCAATTTAACTTAATCTAACTTGTCATTACACATTATAACTTTCCATTTTTTTCAATATCTTGAATTATCTTTTAAATTATTCATAAGTTTATAATGTAAAATTAAATATCAAGTGTATGTCGCAAGGGTTTATAACCTTATTAGACATAAAATTTGTGAATTCAAATCAAAGCCTAAAAAATAAAAAATAATTAAGATAATTAGATATCAGACCCAATGCATGTTGATAAAATCACACCTTTACAAAATCTGACATAAGAAGGAAAATATTAGCAAAAAATACAAATTCTCTTGTGCAAAACCTTAAAGTGTGTTTGGTCATGTACTATTACATTTTAAGGTTTTAAATATATATTTTTTATATAAGAGATATATGATAGTTAGAACTTCCCATACTGTTTTATTCATATTTTATATAAAAATATAACAAAATATCAAATATTAATAATATTTTAATTTTAATTATCTAAATCAAAATAATAATGTAATGTCTTTTTTTCATATTTTAAATATAAGATAAATTTCTTAATGCTTAATTTAAATAAAAAAAGATAATAAAATATATATTCCTAACGAGGATGGCAAAATGGACTAGGCTCGTGTAGGTTAGTCCAGTCGACCCGCTATAATATGGTAGGACGAGTTGGTATTTTTAGTCCGCTAGCCAGCTTTGGTCCGCCAGTGGGACGAGATGGGCCAACATGCAACCCGTCTAATTGATAAAAAAATAATATTTTATGATAATATAATTAATCATAAAAATAATATATAAAGTTAAAAATTGTAAAAAAAGAATTAAAAATGTCTCATCGCATTACTCAAACACAATCTCCCCTCTCATCTTCTCCTTATTGTTTATCATATCCTCCTAGTTTATTATGATTGTTCTTATCCTTGTAACTTGAATAAAATGTGTAAGAATTACTCGATGAGAAAACAATGTGAAACTTTATCAAATAAATAAAAAAATATAGGTATTTAAAATTTTCAATATAAAAAATAAGAATTTTACAAGTTTTGACATTATTTATATATATTTGTTA